GGGATTTGTAGTTCACCTACAATCATAGAGCATTCTGAACCCCACCAACAATAGAATTGGGCCAAACCTCCCTGACCACCAGAGTGGGCCACAGCAAAGCGTGGCAGGGGACGGCTAGTAGGGAATAAGACCAGCCTCAGGAGTTTCACTCCACACACTCACACAGCAACACATGGCAGGGGACGACTAGTTTGCAAATAAATTTGTTAAAAATTAGGCAATGTGATTTTCTGGATGTGTTTTCCCATGTTGTCTCTCATAGTTGTGGTCTACCTATGTCATCAACTACAGGCCTATCTCATCTTTTTAAGTGGGAAAACTTGTACAATTGGGATCTGACTAAATACTCCCCTCCCCCTCACTGTATTTGCTCTTCTCCCACACTTCCATGTAATTATGTGATATCCTCTTTTCTCTCAGTTTTAAAACATTACTGAGGGTGGATCTACACGGCCATTTAATGCAGTTACAGCAGGGGTCCACAAACTTTTTAAACAGAGGGCCAGGTCACAATCCTTCAAACTGTTGGAGGGCCGGATTATAATTCGAAAAACATATGAATGAATTCCTATGCGCACTGCACATGTCTTATTTGTAGTGCAAAAAACACTTAAAACAATGCAATAATTAAAATGAAGAACAATTTTAACAAATATAAACTTATTAGTATTTAAATGAGAAGTGTGAGCCTACTTTTGGCTGATGAGATAGGATTGTTGCTGTTGTTGTTTTTGTGTGCTTTCAGACTTAGGTTGACCCTGAGTGACGGCCAGGTAAATGGCCTTGGAGGGCCGCATCCGGCCCCCGGGCCTTAGTTTGAGGACCCCTGAGTTACAGAATGCAGATTTACTGGATTGTATGACTTGATCTCCGTTCTGAAACCACATTATATGGCAGTGTAGATCCAGCCTCAATCTCCTAGGATTACGTTGGGTCTACTATGCCTTCTCTCTTTTCTTCCAGTATTGGGATTTCTGAAACCTTAGCAACTGATACCTCCCTACTCAAATGGTGAACCTAGTTTTACTCTAAACTTCACAAAACTTACCTAATCTATGAAATAGGCAGTACAATAAGTTTGAGCATCTTGGTTGCCTACTTTAAAGCCCAGAAGATACCCTGGAAGTTGTAGTTTCACAAGGTCCTTTGCCTTCTCCACCAAAGTGTGTGTTTACACTGTAGAATTCATGCAACTTTAGGGAACTTAAACTGCCCTGGCTCCATGCTATGAAAACCTGAGAGTTGTAGTTTCACAAGGTCTTTAGCCTTCCCCACCAAAGTGTGTGTCTACACCATAGAATTGATGCAGCTTTAGGGAACTTAAACTGCCCTGGCTCCATGCTATGGAAACCTGAGAGTTGTAGTTTCACAAGGTCCTTAGCCTTCTCCACCAAAGTGTGTGTCTACATTGTAGAATTCATGCAGCTTTAGGGCACTTAAGACTGCCCTGGCTCCATGCTATGGAAACCTGGGAGTTGTAGTTTCACAAGGTCCTTAGCCTTCCCCACCAAAGAGTGTGTCTACACTGTAGAATTCATGCAGCTTTAAGGCACTTAAGACTGCCCTGGCTCCATGCTATGGAAACCTGAGAGTTGTGGTTTCACAAGGTCCTTAGCCCTCTCCACCAAAGTGTGTGTCTACATTGTAGAATTCATGCAGCTTTGGGGCACTTAAGACTGCCCCGGCTCCATGCTATGGAAACCTGGGAGTTGTGGTTTCACAAGGTCCTTAGCCCTTGTGTGTGTCTACATTGTAGAATTCATGCAGCTTTAAGGCACTTAAGACTGCCCTGGCTCCATGCTATGGAAACCTGGGAATTGTAGTTTCACAAGGTCCTTAGCCTTCTCCACCAAAGTGTGTGTTTACACTGTAGAATTCATGCAGCTGTAGGGCACTTGAAATGCCCTGGCTATGAAAACCTGGGAGCTGTAGTTTTCCAAGGTCTGCGACTACAGCTCCCAAGTTTCCATAGCATGGAGCCAGGCCAGTTCAAGTGCCCTTAAGCTGCATTAATTCCAGTGTAGAAGCACCCAAACTACAATTTGGGTCCCATCTCCAATGTATGGAGATGAGACCCAATGACATATAAATACAGGGATGGCACAATAAATAAACCCAAAAGCCTTCTGTCCCCAAGGACTTGGGAGAAAGGGATACCCAACCTATTCTTGGATGGAAGCTGCAGTTCAGGCAGAACAGGGTGGAGTGAGCTCAGAAACGGGATAGCACCGGTTTACTCAAAGCGGATCCAGCAGTTGCCTCTTCTTGCTCACCCAACGCCTTTGTCCTTTGGGTCGGGGCCACTCTCCAACCAGGCGGTCTCCAAACTCCAGGCTCTTTGGGGCTGCAGTGGAGAAAACCCTCCAAACCTCGGGTATTTATATCTCCCTCCACAACTCCACCCCACTTCAGAAACGTTTAAGTTTCGGCTTCCTCAAGTGGTGAACATTCACAACTCGGACGATAGAGGGAGCCAGAGAGCATGCAAGAAGACCGGCATCGTTTTAAATAGGAAGCAAGGCTGCCATGGGAGGGGAGAGGCAG